GGGGCTCGATCCCAGGACCCTGGGACCATGACCCGAGCCAAGGGCAGACGCTTAACGACTGAGCCACCCACGTGCTCCATCCTCTTCTAGTTTTAAATCTTTTTTCTTTTTTTAAATAAAAAAGTGGTGGAGACCCATAAAATTTATTCTTGATAAAAAATAAGTCTAAAAAATAAGTCTAAGGCCTGGGCCCAGACAGACACCTGTCTGTAGGGTGAGGGCCTCTCCGGGGGCTGGGGTTCTCTCCATGGGGCCGGTCCTCCCTCTAGGGCCTCAGGCCTCTTTTCTCCTACCTGCGGGTTCAGCCTGCATCTCCCTCTGGGCCTCAATCTTGCTGGTGCACCTCTGGTTGCCATGTTCTCTCCAGGGACACTGAATTTAGATCCCTGGGAGCCCTCTGACATGGTGCCTCACTCCCACACCCTCGGGGCCAAGGAAGCAGGGAGCGGAACAGGTCGGGGGCACAGGGAGTACTCAGGCTGCGTGGCCCAAGGCGGCTCCCAGGACATAGGGTGGCAACCACAGAGCTGAGCAGTGTTCAATAAATCATGGAGGCTAGGGCCTGGGTGAGGGGGACACCAGCAGGGAAAGGGGGGCCATGGATAAATAATTCATTAAACAAACAAGGAGCCTGTGAGAGGGAGGACGGCGCACGTGTGGGCGCAGGGGTGGCAGCCGCCTGCCCCAGACATGAAATATTCCCAGGTTCCGCACCCAGGGCCCATGCGTGTGCCCCAGAGCAGGCAGGCTGTTGGGATGGTGGTCACGTGGAGACCTAGGTGCCGAGGAGGAGGGCAATGCACGTGCCTGCTGACTCTCCCTAGTGTGTTGTCGGCATGGCTGTGTGATGCGACATGTCCTGAGTTGACGTGAAGACACACACACACACACACACACACACACACACACACAGCCACAGGGGCCGCCGGAGCATGCCCGCCGCCGTGTGTCCAGGATACAGGAAACCAGGATGCCAGGCTCGGTGGGTCGGTCAGGGTGGGAGAACCTCTGACCCTCGTCACGCCCTGCTCCCTGTAATGAACCCCACAAGCTGCGCAGCCTGAAGTGGGGAGAGGCATCTCCGGGGTGCTGTGAGGGTGTGTGTGAGTCCCCTGAATACGCTTCAGGAAAAGATGAGTGTGGCCTCACAGTGACAGGGTGGGCTTGGGGTTGCGCCCCAGTCCCAGCACTCATGGGCTCTTCTCGTCACCCAACTTCTGGCTGCTTCCTCATCTGTGAAGTAGGGAAAATAATACCCTTCCTCCAGGAGCTGGCTGAGATTAGGACCCATGTCTGGGAAGTCCTTAGCACAGTGCTCAGGACCCAGGAGGTGCTTGGTTCATGGGGGCCTCATCACCATTAGTTTTATCCATTTGTTGACTTATTTATTTATTTTAAAGATTTTATTTATTTATTTGAGAGAGAGAGAGTACAAGTGGCAGGGGGCAGGCAGAGGGAGAAGCAGACTCCCCGCTGAGCAGGGAGCCCAACATGGGGGCTTGATCCCAGGACCCTGGGATCACGACCTGAGCTGAAGGCAGACGCCCAACCGACTGAGCCCCCCGGGCACCCCATTTATTTATTTTTTAAAAAGATTTTAAGTAATCTGCATACCCAACGTGGGGCTCGAACTCACACCCATGAGAGTCACCAGCCTGGTGCCCCCATCACCGTTATTATTAAGGGATTCTCTCCCGAGTTCTGCCCACTGAGACTAGCCCTGAACTGGCTGTTCCATAACTTCTCCCGCTCTCCAAGCTTCTCTGAAAGCTGTCACAGTGGCAGAGCTGGCCCAGGGCTTGGGGAGTGGGATGGGGCAGGAAAGTTAGATGGAATCAGGGGGAGGGCAAGTTTCCTCCCAAACCAGGAGTCCCCATCCTTGACAGTGTGGAAGGAGGGGTCCCTGACCTTCTCCTCAGACTGCAGAGCCCCTTCTTAACTCCTAAAACTGCTAAGATCCAGACTCTCTTCTTCCCACCACCAAAATTGAGCTTTCCAGCAAGTGGCTTCAAGGAAGCGGGAACTGGGGCAGAGGTCTCTGAGTAGCTTCACCCCCCACCCGCCCCATCCTCATCACCAGAACCTCAGCCCCCACCTCCTGCCTACCGGTTGAGAGGATTCCTGGCGAAGGTGGCTACGTCTGGGCGAAACCCAGAGAAGTGGATCCCTGGAGTGGGTGGGGGAATCCGGGCTGGAGAGAGCCTCGGAGGGCCTCCTAGTAGGCTCCAGCATTCCCCAGCCCTCCGGAGTCCTCTGGAAAGGATCTGCTCCCTGCAGGAGAGAGCCAGCAGACAGGTCTGAGCTGGCCTGCTCCTCCGCAGACAGAACGGGTTGGGGGAGGGGGCCCGAGATCTCGGTGGGGAGTGGTGGCAGCAACCCCCCTGTCTCCTCTGGGGAGCCAGGGCCAGAGGGGACTACAGGCTTGGGTACACCCTACCACAGCCTGGGGCCCAGCCCTTTGCCTCCTGTGGCCGGCCGCTGCCAACTGGGGAGCCAAGAGTCTGGGCCCCCAAGTGTGGAGACGGTGCCTGCCCACCCCTTCCCAAAGAGCCAACATCAGTTCTCTCTACGCCCCTCCCCTGGGCTGGGCAGGTCCAGGCTAATCTGCACAAGAGCTTCACGGCAAACATTGATCTGTAATAAAACCACAATGTGTGTTCAGGAGAAGTGATTCCAGACACAGAGAGATGCAGACAACACACACACACACACACACACACGCTCACACATATATACGGATGCAAAACGTACAGCTCTGGGAGGGAGAACACCAGCAGTCCTGAAAACACCCCAGACCACAGGCCCACACTGAGTCACACACACAGGCATTATGAGGTCTGCACACTCCCTCCCTGCCTTAAACGTTGTCCTTCAAGCTCAAGTCTCCTCTGACAGCCCATTTCCCCATAGCACTTTGTATGTAGCTCTGTAGTAGCATTTGTACTTGGCGTTACAATTATTTGTTGGCCAGTTTGTCTTCCTGAGTAATCTGAAGATTCCTTAAGAAAAAGGAATCTTGTCTGATGCAAGTGCACATCCCCAGCATGTAGCACACAGCCTGGTGTTGAGTTAGTAGGAGTAGGTAAGGTGATTCAGAAATAATTGTTGAATTGATACACAGGAAGAAGTGCACTCAGACAGGGGGACACCCATGTCTAGAGCGCCTCAGCAGCACACAGGATAACCAGCGCCGGCTGCTCACGCCTCTGACCCTGCCTGCTGGTCTCCTGGCCCCTGGGCCCCACTACCTCTGAGCTTCTTCAGAGGGCCTCCCTCTTGGTTGGGTGGGAGACCACGAATCTGCGCTCCACCGGAGGGCTGGCAGGCAAACTAAGGGTTAATGACACCTCATTAGTATTTAATTGGAGGAAGGAAGCTGGCCTGGCACCAGACATGTGGGCAGGCCTGCCCCTCGCTGGAAGCAGGCAACCCTCGTTCCAGCACCCTGCCGGGTGTGTGGGTGATTTGGCCCTGGAGACCCTCGACCCGGCCCGGGGCACCTTCCCCCACCATTTGCTTTGCCAATTTAATCTCTAGACAGTACAGACCAGCCCTCCCCATCTGTCAACAAACATCCAGAGGGAGAGGCAGACTGCTTTAGCTAGGCTGCGCCCCCTCCCACCGGAGGAGACACTGGAGGCTAGAAGAGGGGTGGGGTAAGGAACCGGAAAAGGGGAGAGAGAAATTATGGAGCTGTTAAGGGATAAAGCCGGGATACAGACAAGCGACAGGGCTGGGGATGTGGAGATGTCTGCTCAATTTGACCTTAAATGAAGAGAATGCAAATGAGATGCAGACGATATGCAGAAGACCAGGAGGATCTCAGAATTAGCATTCCATGTGGCAGCAGCCCGGCACCCAGGCACCCAGGACCCCAGCGCCGTTGCCAGTACCGCTCCCCTAACCTTCCTGGGGTAAGTGGCACTGACCATTACTTGGTGTGAGAAAAAGGATCTCGAGAATGATAGGAGCTTGGTTGGGATAGGGCGGCGGGACGTGGGAAGCTGAGCTCCATCCAGTCTCCCCGCCCCCAACCCAAACAGCCACCCGAGCTGCCACTGGAGCTCAAGCAACGACCACTCCCCAGGTTACGGTCGGACGCACCGTCGGTTGCTATGGGGACCCCGTCCCATGTCCAGGCCTGAACCAATGGGCATCACCGCTGATGACCTCATGCCCCGGGCCCCGGGATTCGGTTGGCTATTTGGAAGCCAGAGTGGCCCTCTCCAACTGCGTCACGGCTGGGAATCCCCCGACGACCCCAGCTGCCGTGGCCGGCTGAAAGAAGGACGCGCTGGGAGCTCCCGATTTGATGAATGAATGAATGAACAAGCAAAGGAAGGAAGGAACCACTGAAAGAGAAGGAAGAGAGGGGTCACATAAAAAGACCAAAGCTTCAGGGTTTAGCTTCTAGAGAAGGAGGGTGGTTTGCAACCCCGCAAACTGTGGGGCAGGACCCCGGTCGCAGAGTCTTTCAGGCTCTTGGGACGAGACAGAGTGAGGCAAAGATGACCAGTTTTCGCATCTGCTGGGGAGAGACTAGGGCGGACCTAGCGAATTGAGGGCCCCACCCTGGGCCGTCTAGCGCCGCCGAGTTTAGGGGAGATCGGTGACGCCCCAAAACTCACAGGCCTGCCCAGCCTCCTGGAACCGCGCCCCGGAACGCGCCTCGAGGCCTTCTCATGGGTCGGGCTCAGTCGCGGAAGGCCGCCCGGCACCTTCAGCCCGCCCCGGCCCCGGGAGCGGACCTGGCCCTCTGGGGGGCGCGCCCCGGGGCTGGTCCGGCCTACCGCGCAGGGCCAGGTGTGAGGAAAGGGCGGGCGGGCGGGAGTTTGCGACCCTCGCTCCGATGCCCTGCCGCCCGAGGCGTCCGCTCAGACACCTGCAGGGAGCCGGCGGCCGGCCAGGGCGCACGTCCGAGTGCCCGCCCGCCGCCCGCGACCCGCACCTCCCGCCCCCACCTGCTCTGCACACTAGGCAGCGAGCGCGCCCGGCTGGGGGGGCGAGGGGGGTGTGGGGCCGCGGGGTGAGGGCCCCACTGTCGTCAGTGGAGGGCAGGGCCTAGTCACCAGTGGCCCCGCGCACCTCGCCTACGGCTTCTGGGGGGGGGTGTGCAGGAGGCAGCAGCGCCCTCGGTTTCCACGGCGACCCAGGACCCCCTCCTGGATGACAGGGGAGACGCAACTCGAACCCAGGACCAGAAGGCCGGGGCCGCAGCTCATGCTCTGGGCGCCCCAGCCCCTCGGCGTCAGCTGAAGAGCGCGGTGGGGGCCGAGGGCGCGGACGCGCGGACACGCAGGCACGTGCACCTACAGACGCGGCGTTTTCTGACCCCGGCCTCGAATGGGGGAAGGGGTCGACTCGCGTCTGCTCCGCCTGCGGTGCCGTCCTCCAACCCTCGGGCAGAGCAGTGGAACGCACGAGAGCGGGCTGGGTCTGACGGGGTGTGAAGGGGTGGGGGAGGGGTCCGCGATTTCCAGGGTTCCGGCGTCTGTCAGTCTCCCGCCCCCCGCGGCTTCACACGCCGCCGCTCGCTGCCGCAGCCGGGCCCAGCTAATCAGCACAACGTCCACCTATCGATCGCTGGCTCGGTGCCAGGCGGGACGGCACGGTGCCAGTGGAGGCTGCGGGGCACCGGGGCGGGTGGGGCACGGCGGCGGGGGGAGGGGCACCCCTCACCCTGGCTCCACCCAGGACACCGTTCAGAAAGAGGGCTCTGGTGGGGTTTGCGGGGGGGCGGATCATAGCCTCGACTGCCAGAGGTGGGAGAGACGGTGTGGGGCTGAGAGCAAAGGGGGCCCTCCCTCCTCGGCCCCACCCCCTCCTCCTTATAAAAGCGAAGAACAAAGAAGCCGCTGGGGAAGGAGGCTTTGATCTGACCCCACCTTCCCAGTTCTAGACCAGGCACCGCCCAGACTGTCCTTGGGGAGGGGGAAGGATGTCCGGCTCGCAGGGACCCAGGCATTCTGAAACTCTCTAGCGGCCCTGGCGTTTGCCCCAACGCCCTGCTTGGTGCTACCAGGGCTTGGGCACCGCCCCACGTGGGTGGGCTGTCAGGAGCATCTGCCCCCTCCTCAGCTCAGGAAGCCAGCTAGGGAGGTGGGAGAGGGTGCCAAGCTCTACAGCTGCTGCTGGCACCCACCGCACACTGCCCAGAGGGTGCCCACGGCCGCCTAGAATGTATGGCCTGGGCGGAGCTGACATGGAGGTCAGGCCAAGTGGAGCTGAGAGCAGAGGCTGCGGGGCGTCCTGGGGTCACGGAAGGAGCCAGAGGGTGTAGATGGGGGAGAGCAACCGAAAGTTGGGTGGTTTATTGAGGGTTTGGTCCGGACACTTATAAAAATACAAACTGGCATGATATTCAACCTCATAGCAAGTCCGTCTTCATAGAAGACAAGTGAGTGACCCCCTGGGGAGGGGAAGATGCTGCCCCAGGGAAGAGGCCCACAGGGTCCTGGGCACAGAGGGCAGGCCTTCTCCCTTGCCCTGGTCTGGCAATCCACCTGCCCCCAGGTCTTCGGTCTTGGCCCCAACAGACTCAAGGGTTCAATCCCACCAAGTCCCAGTCTTTCTGGGGGCGACAGGATGAGAATGTCAAAGCAGCTGACAGAGACCCTATGTTTGCCTGGGCTCCAGGGTGCCCAGGGCTGTATGCAGCTCCCCTTCAGCCTGTGATAAGGGGCCAGCCCCTGGAAGGGTCCCCTCAGACCCTCACTCTTCCGTTGGTCTGGCTGGCTTGACTGCTCCCAGCTCGAGCGGCAGGGGCCCCTCCTCCGGGGAGTCTCGGGAGGGCTCTGGCTCCTGGGCGTAGCAGGAGGGGTCTGCTTGGCTCAGAGAACTCGCAGGAGGCGCAGAATTGGCAGCAGGAACAGCAGCAAGAGACAGAGGGGGCTGAGAGCACCTCCCCCTCGCCACCCTGACGTGCCACTCTCTCCTGGGCTTCCAACAGGATGGGCTGACTCCGACTCTGTGAGGGAGGGCAGCACTGAGGGACCCTCCCCTTCAGCAGCCTCCTTCCTGCCCTGCCCCTGGCCTCTTCACTCCCAGTCCACCGTGGCTGAGGCCTCGAAGGATACTGCCCTGGAGATGCCATCTCCTTGGCCCAGCATAAAGGGGCAGAGTGGAAGCTCCCACAGAGATAAATGGGGGATCAGAGGCCACAGCTAAAAGCCCCACCTGGACCCCTCAGGGTCTAATGCTCCCAGACTCTCCCCACGGCTTCCCTCACTCCAAGGGCCCCACACCCACCAGAAGGGTGGCTCCCCGCACCCTGACCCACTTACTGCTCTCCTGGCAGCAGACAGACACCTGGAGCCTCAAGCACTTGCCAGAACTCTCGGGAGTTGGTACCGCTGGGTGGTGGGAGATTGGGAGGAAGAAGTTAGCACAAGCTAGCTTGCACGCCTCAGACGCCTTCAGACCCTCTTCCCGTTTGTCTTCCCTGCAGTTCCCTGGAGAGCTTCCCCTCACTTTTGGTCCATACCCTGGTGCCAGGCCCCGGCCGTGCCTTCCACCACGGCCCCTTCCCAAGCTCCTCTTGCTTTCTCCTCCTCTCTACAGACTCCCCTGGATGTCCCCCTACTCAGTATTAGACTCAGGTCCCCCCCTTCATTCCCAGGCCCCACCTCAAGCCCTCCGCCCACCTGTGGCGATGGCAGGATGCCCCCCTCCCCTGCCCGCCCGGGACAGCCAGCGTGCCCCTCCTCACTCACAGATGTAATAGTAGGTCTCTCCAGGCAAGAACTCAAAGCCGAGGGAGAAGGGTGTGAAGCGCTGAATCTTCTCAGAGAATCGAACTGGGCCAAAGGGAGCGAAGGGGAGGGCACACTCCCAGCGCTTGAAGGCGCCTGGCCCCTGGGCCTGGCAGGCCTCATAGCCTGGCCGCTCCACCATGTATAAAGCGAACGTCTCGGGGCCGTCAGGGGGCCCCGGCCCCTCATAGTGCGGGCAGAAGATGTCTAGGTAATCGTTGAGCTCCAGCTTCACCACGGCGTCTCCTCCAAGCAGCCTGCAGGCATAAGGCAGGTGCGTGCTGAAGGGGCACGGTGCAGCTCCCCGGGGGCGTGAGGGTCCCAGTGGTCCCTGCCGGCCTCTCCCCTACCCACTGGAGAGGGAGCAGCTCAGCAAGTCCCGAGTTTCCCAACCTAGCAACTCTTGAGAGACAGAGTCAAGAAATGGGGGGGGCGGTAACCACTTTGCAGGTATTGAGAGGTGAAGGGACTACAGTGCCCATAACCACATGCTCAAGCCTGAGAAGGCCACTCTCCAGACCCTACATTTTCAGGCTGGAGCTGCCGCCAACTCTCCAGCCCCAGTGCCCAACAGAGGGCCTGGCAGAGCACTTTGCTCTTGGTACATGTCAGGTGTCAAGAAGCTGGGGTGAGAGACGAGGGGTACAAATCTGGGCCTGCAGCGTAGTCACGGCCGCAGACATGGACGCCAGGAACCGTATCCTCATCAGCAGAGGCAGAGAGAGGGAGACAGCTTTCGGGATCTAAATGCAATACTGAGAAGGATGTCACAGTGGAAGGAAGGAAGGAAGGAAGGAAGGAAGGAAGGAAGAGAGGCTGTGGATGGGGGAGGCCCCTCCAGATATCAGTTCATCTTTGGCCTACTCAGGACTCCCTTCCCTACCTCTTGGGAGCTGCCTGTGGGAGCCAGGACAGGCGGGAAGGGCTGGGACAGGCTGGCCCCACAACATTATACACTGCGAAGCACCTTCCCCCTTCCCGACCATCCATGCAGTCTAGCATGACAGTGAAAGGCCTCTAACTATCCCTCAATGGGTGGTCTAAGGACCACCTGCATTTGGAGTTCTGATCAGAAATGCAGATTCCTGGGCTCAGCTCAGACCCACTCAAACACAAGCTGGGCCTTGGTATGATTTCTGCAGCATCCCCAGTGCCTGGAAAAGTGTCCTACCCAAACACTTAATAAATATTTGCAGATTGAATGAACAGGCCAGAAACCTTGGGGTTGGGGGCTAGGAACCTGAATTTCTAACAAGTTCTCCAAGTGATTCAGAGGCACTGGTCTGGAACAGAGAGAGGGCTTCGGAGCTGGGAGGACAATAGCTGTTATCACGTGGCATCAGCATTGTAATGACCTGTCTTGATGTCTGCCCTCCCCGGGGGGTCTCTGGGCTCCCAGAAGCCAGAGCTGAGGTCTTCTCTCTCTCTATCCAGCATCCTAGCACACGTCCTGCGTAACAAATGTTGGTGAGTGAACAAATGAACAGAGTCACAGATTGTCTCAAGTAGAAAATCAGAAAGGCAAACAGATGGAGACAGCAGAGAGACAGGGAGAACTGGGGAGGAAAATGCAAACAGTCAAAAATACTGAGGTTCAAAGGCTCGGGAGAAAGAAATAATAATTTGTATCTTTACAGCCTGCTCCTCTTTCACACATGTGACCTCGGTCAGCCCGCCTGATTTCTCAGGGTACCAGGTGTTATTAGCCCATTTTACAGATGAGATAACTGAGGTTAGGGAGTCAAACGACTTGCCCGAAGGTGATTCAGCTGGAAGGGCAGGGCCGAGAATGGACAGAAATAGAAGGACCCAGAATGACGGAGATGAACGCAGAGATAGTGAATGAGCTCAGGAGGCCAAGCGAGCAGGAGAGTAAACCACGCTCTTTCTCAAGCGTGAAGCCCCCTCCCTCCCTCCCTCTCCAGACCGCCCGCCCCACCTCGGAGGTGGAGGAGAACAGCAGGAGAGAAGGGAAAAGCGAGGGGGCGGGGCTCGGAGCGCCCACCTTCCGCCTTCAGAGCTGGGGTCCTCCGCCCGCCCCCCAACACGTGCGGGCGGGGGGGGGAGCCCCGGGCGCGCCTCGCCCCTCCCCTCCCCCTCCCCCGCCGGCTCAAACAAAGGAGCCCCAGCGCGCGGCCCGGGCCAGGCGGCGCCGCGCACCGAGCGAGAGTGGGGCGCGCGCCCGGCCCGGGAGCGCGCAGGCCCGGGCGGCCGTCGGCCGCGTTCGGCCCGGCTACCTGGGGTTACTGGAGTTCCAGTAGACAGCGTGGCGGAGGCCGGAGCCCCCTCGCAGCGGGGAGCTGAGGAGCGCGGCCCAGAGGACAGTCCGCAGCAGGGGCAGCAGCCGCATCGCCCCCGGGGTCCGCTCTGGTCTGGTCCGGCCGGTCCCGGCCCGCTTCTCTGCCGCCGCGAGAAAGGTACAAAGTGGAGGTGGGGGGGGGGGGCGGAACTGGGGGTGGGGTGCAGAGACTCGCAGGCCACGCCTCCGGGTAACTTTCCACCAATGGGGGCGCACCCCCGCCTCCCCGCTCGGAGGCAACTCCTGTTAACCCTGTGTGCGCCGAGGCGCGCGCCAGGCTCGTCGCGCTCCCACCGGGGCTGCACCGTGTCACGAGGCGGCGGGAGGGGCGACGCAGTCCACTGTCGGGGAGCTCGTTTTAGGGAGGTCGCGTCTATCGTGTCTGCGTTAGTACCGGGTAGGTAGGAAGACTTATTTCAAATTGGGAAGATTTAAATAGGAGCACACGGCCTTTGGCCAGAAAGAGGAAAAAGTGAGGCACAGGCGAGGACCCACGAAGCCCGTCCACCTCCACCTTAGCATATTGCCCCTTTTTGTCTTTTCAGGGATAGCGCGAGTGGAAGGGACAGATCGCCTCCTGCGACAGATCGCCCCTCACCCTCTCCCTCCTCCCCCCTTACGGAGCCTTAGTGCCCACCTTGGGGTTGGCGCCTGTCCCTTTCCGCCCCACACCTTCATTCTGGGCTGGGGGCCCACGCGGCCCCATTCCCGAAGTCGAAATAATGAGGTGGTTGCGTCCTGTACAAAGCACCTTTGTTCCCAAGCCCTCAGGTGGGGCAGGGGAGGGGGAGGAGGCAGGTGCACGGCCTTGGGATCGTGGGAGCCGCCGCCCCGCTCCGCCCCGGCTCCAGGGCTCTGAGAACAGCAGCCAGATCCACTTTTCCCAGCTACTGGTCAGAGGGTGGGGACGGCGGGTCAAACAGCTGGGCCGGTTCGTGGATAGCCGCCTCTGGGGGCCGCGCACACTTGGGCGCAAGGACTTGGCGACTGGGGGCGGCACGCGGTTTTACAACTCCCTGGATACTGGATTGCGCAGAGTCATCCCAGACTGGGCGGAAACCAGCTGCGAGCATCCTGGGGACACACACGCTGACCCAGCCTGGGACTCTTCGCCCTCCCTAGCCTGCCTACGTCCGAGGCGGCAGCGTCTCCTGGCGGCCAGACCTGGAACCGCAGCAGGTCGACCCGGCCTTCCCTGAGCAGACAAAGTCCGAGGCACGCTCCCCAGACCTCAGGTTTATTGCACCAGAGCAGGGACAGGCTGTGTGCACCTCCCTCAGCCCAGGACGGCGCCCAGCCCCTCCCCACCCCCAGCGGCAACTGCGTGGGCTGGTCCCTAGGGTGCTGCTCGTCGGCGCGTGGAGGTGCCCGGGGTCTTAGGCTGCCTGCTCCGCCGTGTCCAGGCTCCGGCTCCTTCAGTCATCGCGGGGGACTCCAGGGGCCAGTCCGCCTCTTGAAGTTCTAAGTCCGGCTTGCAGGCAACGGAACCTCAGCAGAGGTCAGAGGTAGAGCGAGGACGCTGCTGGGGGCGGCGGCGCAGGCCTGGGGTGCGGGAAATCGAGAAAGAAAAGGTCAGAGGTCCTCCTTTCCCCAGACCATTTGCCCCGCGCTGGCATCCCCCCGCACCCACCTGGACGGTACCACTAGGGGCGGGATTCCAGCTCCTGGGCCAGGCAGGTCACCCGAAGGGCGCCGGCCCTGGGGGTTGGCAGGCAGTGGCTTCCTCGGGGGTGGGGGCTTGGCAGGCCCCTGAGACTGAGAAAGAAAGCGGGAGGCTGGCTTGGGAGGGGGTGTCGTGTTGCCCACCCCTGTTGCTGGGGAGCACCAGCTTATGGGGCCGGCTCCAGAGGTCACCTTTGCTCCAAACCAACCTGTCACCATTAAAGGACACCAGGGTATGTGTCCTCACGCACAGAGGGGCTATCTCACCATGGCCACGACTGCCAGGGCTATTAGCACCACAGCCCTGGGTGGGGGAGAGGCTGCACCCTTCTCTCCCCACATGTTACCTTCGGGTGCCTCACCACCGGGTCAGCGGGCAGAGGGCGGGTGGGGGGATTGGGCCGGTCAGCCAGCTCAGCCTGAACAGAGAGAGGGGCAGCGCTGTGAGCACAGCCAGGGGCCAGTGGGCATGCAGTGGTTCTCTCCAGGGGTTCAGTTCAACATGCAAAGTCAGCCAGGGGGCAGGCGAGAATGGGGACATGCGCACAGGGCTCGGGCGCTTGCCCGCAAAACCCTCCCGGGAGGAAGGTATGGGTCACAGTGGTGTCCCAGGCCAGCTGCAGTCCTGCCACTGACCACCAGGTGGTGGTAGAAACCAAGGCAGGAGGCTCACCCTTTGCTGCCGCTGGGGCTCAGTGTCTGAAGGCTGAGGGGCACCCTGGTCCCCTAATGAAGAGCGCCACTGGCAGGGAACAGGGGTGAGAACTAAAGTGGGGCACCAAGCCTCCCACCTGCCCTGGGCCAGGGCAGGGCCTGGCCCGGATTTACCTGGAGTCTCTTGGGCACAGGGTCGGGAGGCAGCGGCCGGGAGGGGGGTGCCGGGAAGCCAAGAATACTGGCCTGCTGAGAGAGCATGGGGAGCAGACAGCGGGATCGGGGTGGGTGGGGTCGGGAGAGGGAGCGCGGACACAGATGTGGGCAGAGAGGGGTTAGTGCCTGGGGAGGGGCTGCCAGGGCCCCAGGGGCAGTGGGGGGCCGCACATGCGGTTGCTTGGCTGCATGCAGAGGGGGTGACAAGTGGTGGAGTGAGCATGCGGACCACCTCCACACACACCCCTGTCATCAGCTCCAGGGGCTTGCGGGGCACTCGCCAGCCTTCCACACATGGTGACCTGGGCCTCATCAGGTCGTGGTGCCTGGAGGCCATTTCTGAGCACCACCCCCCTTGTCCTCCAGGGGCCCCTGCTGGGAGCACCAGCAGACCCACCTCTCAGAACCACCAGCGTGGCCCTCCTCTAGGTGATGTCCCTCCCCAGTCCAGGCTGGACTCTGCTTCTGGGCCTGCAGCCAGGGGAGCGTAGGGGAGGGCTGGCCCCGACTCCTGACTGACTCGTGGGCAATGGGAGTCTTTCTCTGAGTCTAGGGCCTTCAGTGCCCCCACCCCAGGGACCACGCTGGATGCCTGGGCAAGGTGGGGCCTCTCTCCTCTGGTATGCATGACTTACCTTGGCCCCTGGCATCAGCAGGACCCTCTGCGGGGGTCCTGGGCGTTCTGGGGGACCAGACTGGGCTGCCCTGGACATGAAGAAAAGCAAGGAGGAAGAGGGCCCAGCGTCAGACCATGCTCTCCACCCACACGGGACCCTTGAGTGGGGTTGACCCTTTGTAGCCCCTTGGAGAACAGCTCGAGTGTAGTTGAGGCCCAGTGAGAAGTGGAGGGGGGCTGAGGGGCTTGAGGGAGGGCCCCACCTACTCAGCACAGGGCTCCTGGGTGGGTCTGGGGGTGAGGTGAGGAGTGACAAGGCACGTGGAGGGGAGCGAGGTGTGCGTGGGCTGGCCCAAGGGGCTGGGGGTCAGAGCCCGGTGTCCGGCGCTGCAGCGGGCCTGGGGACAGGATGCAGAGCCAGTCTTCAGCAGAGCTGTTGAGGGAGTCGGGGGCAAGGAGGCTGGTACCTGTATTGGCAGCTGGGTCCTTTGAGCTGACAGAGCCGTTGACGCAGGCGGGCGCGGTGCCAGTAGCTGGCCCCCAGCAGCAGCAGGACCACCAACAGCAGGAGGCTGAGGGGCAGCCCTGTGGTCAGGGAGCTGGTTGCTGTGGGGTGAGGGCAGGTTTGAAGGTGGGCACCCAGGAAGGGGTGGAGGGCAGGGACGGAGGTAAAAGTGAGGATGGAAAAGGGTCAGAGAAAGGGGGGGCGGTAAATGGTGAGCCACGATGCCCTCCCAGCTGCCCCTGCCCGCTGCCCCCAGCTACCTCTGACGCGGCTGGTGCAGTCAGGGGGGGCCCAGCCCGCCTCACAGTGGCAACGTCCTTTGCTGTCGCAGACCTAGGGGATAGAGGTTGAGCGATGAGGGGCCCTACACTCTGGGGCTGCATTTCCCTGCCCCCAGCCTTTCAGGAGCTCCTCTGTCCACAGGTGGAAGGTATGCTGGGGACGATGGCGTGGAGAGATGGAGCCTGTGTCCATGCCCGAGGAAATGAAACCGAACCAGCCCAGGAGCGCCTTCTCCATGCTGGCGTTGTGCTAGACCCTCTCATCCCCGTCTCCTGGACCCCAGGACGCCCACTGGGTAGCTGAGGAAACTGAGCTCGGAGTGGTAAATAATCTGCCCCCCGCTACACAGCTAGGAAGGAGTAGAGCGAGGATTAGAACCTAGGTGTGTGTGTTTCCCACGCCCATCACTGTCTGCCTCCCGGAGGCTCCCTGCCCCCTTCTGTGTCTGCCACGCCTGCTCACCCCGTGTCCGTGGCATTTGCTTCGACATTCCTGGGCTCGCAGGACGTCCACGGGCTGGCACCGGCGGTCAATGCACACCTGCCGGGGGTAGGGTGGGGCAGGGGAGAGAACCAAGGTCACAGCCTCACAAAGTGTCACAGGCACTGGCAGGCCACAGCCCTGCTCTTACAGAGCGAGAAACCGAGGCCGCCAGGATGACAGGACACTGCTCAGTCAGCAGTGTGACCCTGACCGCCCCACCCCCCCGCCCCGGGAGAGTCTGCCTTCTACACTGGTGGACCCTGAGGCCTGGGCATTGCTCGTGCAGACAGCCCTCCCTCTGGCCTTGCCTGCTGGGACTGCTCACCAGGTCAGGACCACAGGCTGTGCCAGGCAGAGTCAGCAGGGGCTGGGCCACGTCGTCGCCCAGGTCCAGGTGGACCCAGCTGCAATTCAGCTTCAGCTGGGTCCCGTTGGCTTCTAGCATCTCCCAGCGCAGACCTCGGGCTGAGCCGAGCAGAGGCTGGGCCTGCCCCCCCTGGCACTGGAGCTGCCCACAAATGGCGTCTCTGAGGTAACAGGGAGGAGGCAGGGGGTCAGGCCAAGGCTCCCACAAACCCAGAGGGGAGCCCCGGCTCCTCACTTACTTAGGGGCACAGGACACGTAGCTGCCATTAGGGCTGCGCCCACAGCTCCCAAAAGCATCCCCTCGAGTGTTGGCAGCAAGGAGGCAAA